TGAGGTAAAGCTAATAATTCAATATGTAACACTTTTTTTATTCCTAGGTAGTAAGTGTTATTTTCTAATTTCTTATGCCTCAAAAGTATAAAAAAATGGCTATTATTCCCTCACAAACTTTGCTTTTTTGACCAGGACTTTATGCGAAGGAATGACACAAATGCGCACGTTTTCTCATTGAAAATAGGTACATTTCAAAATATCACTGTCCTGGTCACAAAAGCAAAGTTTGTGGGGAATAATATCCATAGAAAAGAACACTTACGACCCAGGAACAAAAACAAATATTTTTTTGTTACACAGTGTATATAATTAAACCAGCGTGTGTGTGAAGCTGTATTCAATTTGCTTGCCGAAAGCATGGTTATGCCACAACCCCCTGGATCATAGAGAGTTAAGTCGATATGATATTGCCTTAGCCTAGTAAATAAAGGGATTAGTTTATGATTGTTGGGTTTGTAGCGAAATCTCTCATTAAATAAAGTTTCTGACATGATAATTTTCCTTTACGTGCTTTGGGTTTGTTTCTCAATTTAAAACAATCGAGTAATGTTGAAAAAATACCGATCAACACTAAGCGTGGACGTCATTTCACACGGTAAAAATAAGTAATATCGTGTTCCCCAGGTTATAAGACGCTCTAGAAAGTAAGACGTTCCAAAAACTTGTCCCTAATGTCAATAACATTATACAAATCTGGTTGTAGCACACACTTGCACACCTACCGGATTATAAGATGCATCCTCAACTCTTTCTTTAAAATACAGGTCAAAAAGTGCATCCTATAATCGGAAGATATAGGTGATACACATTGAGTGTTACCTACAACTATTAATCGTATTACAGTAACGAATTCCAGTAAGTATTTAAAATGCACAACTCTTGCTTCCTAACACTGCACAGATTAAACGTTAAAATATGAACAATTAAAATTAAAAAAAAAGTTTTTCATACCTCAAGTTCCCTGAAGATGATACACTCTCTGCCTTTTCTAACCGTAGCAAAAACGCTTTGTGATGTCACTCACAGCGCACCTTTGTGACATCATTGACCAGGGCACACGGCATATAAAGACTGCATGTAATGATGCTCGAGGGCTATTTTTACATTAAATAAATGGAACCATATTTTATTACATTCTACCATGTAATTATTTATTTCTCAAAATGTTTCTAATTATAACTCACCTCTGAAGAAGCTGCGTGGTTTTGTTGGAACCATCTGAGACAACCCGTTTTTACTGAAACGGTTTGCATCACATATTTACAGCTTATGAAATAGAACACCTCATGATTTATTAAAATATAATAATGATGCCTTGTAATAAGAATAACTTCTGACGATTTAACAGTTTTCACATTCGTGCTGGTTGAACATTTTTTTTACACATCGCAAAAAATATATAAAATGATACTTTGTGCCAGATATTGGTAAAACATATATACAGTATATACAGCGTATCTAACATTCAAGGTCAAGAGGTCATCAAGGCATCACAGGCAATGTCTCTGATGCCACCAGACCATGCCAATGCTTCCTTCTGCGAAATCTCACAGCTTTTGTTCCAACGACATTTGATCTCCAGGGACACACAGTACCCTAGCCTTTGGCTTAACAACAGAGTGGTCAGAGGTTTCAAAAGAATGAGTGAGGACCAGGCTGAACTCGAAGTGAGGTCTAAAATTAGAGGTCATGGAGTCATTGCAGGAGAGCAGCCGTGGTGGAAACCATGCAGAGTGTACTGGGTCACGGGGACCATTAACACAGATCTATTTGGAGAGGTGAGAGAGAAAAGATAACCCCTTCTCAGTTTTTAACAGAGAAAAATACATTTTTAGACAGAGGGATATTTTCAGTCATTAAGTGGTCAATGTGGGTTTGTTTTATGCTGTGCGCATTTTTTCCCATTGTTTTATTAATGTTCACGTTTATGAACCATATTTCATAGCAGGTAGTATGCGCGTAATATTGCATGCGGTTACATTGAGAGACACAAAGAGGACACGTGGATTAGGAAACACACGCAGGTTAGAAGACATCATTCTAATTGTTGATAAAAGTAAGCGGGATTGGGCAGAACACGTCATGAGAAGTGACGGTGGCCAGTGGTCAAGAATAATGACAGTGGTAGCCAAGGAATGGAAGGAGTCTTGGGAGGAGATCCACAGATGCGAGTGAGCCATGAAATCAACTATTGTGCAAGTGCTATTTGGATTATTACATTGCAGGATCACAAGAGAAGGTGGCGGCTTTGAGAGGCATTCATCCAGCAGTGGATTGACCATTGCTGATAATTTTTGGGATGGAAGAGACGGCAGCAATCTGGGAAATGTACTCGAAAAGATGTAACAATTCTACGTTGAAAAAGCTGGTCATGTTTAAAGAACCACGACCATCAAAAAAACTCAGATGTTTATTTGAGGTCTATCTGCTAAAACTCATGTGCAATATCTCTAATTTAGGGCTCGCTGAACACAGCTAACTCAGCGTTATATTGTTAAACAGTTTGTTCAGGAAGCAGCACGCGCCTCATGTCAACCCATTCCCTTTACCGGCTCCCCACTGCTGCACCGGCCTCTTGCACACACGCACACGGGCACGCACGCGCACACGCACCGAATAAAATCCTACCCCGTACTCCCACCCACACAGGCTCAGTACCCAGGTTATTCCCTTCTGGTATCCCCTGGGTGATTGAGAATGAAAGTTATCATCAAAAATATGCAAACGTTGCAATTCTCGCAAATAAACTAAAACGGTATTGAAGGTTTTATTTAATTATAATTTCTATATATTTTGGGGGCTTTGCAATACTTGTTTATTTATTACACGGACGATCCAAACATTTATCTTTCAACGCGTTGATAATTATAATCATGACATTCTCCGTCATCGCTACATCTTCCCACCTTGAATTCTTGGCACGTAGTGATTCAGCCCCATACGATGTAATGGAGTGTCACGATTCAGGGTCACAATTTAATCCAGGAATCTATTGTTTTTTAGCCTATTTGTATTGTCTCATTTCCACTCTTATGTCACACTCGTGCCGTTTTATTCATCAGCACTGACTCTTTTGTGCTATTTGTACCATCTCAATGGCTACTGTCTTTCGTGCTGTCTCTTTTAGATTCATTCAAGCCACCCGCTGTGACAAGTGTTTCGTAAAATAGGCACGAATTGAAAACATATTGATTCTTGCACACATGATTCAGAGCATGTGTCACGAACGTCAGGAGCAATTTTAATTGATGAATTGTCACGTGCCTCCCGCAAGTTTTTGCTGCTCTTTGCACGGGGCTTCATTATTTTACTGCTGGACTTATGTTTGCAATCAAATCAGGCGAAAACAGGGGGCCCGTCATGCATCAGCGCAGGTGCACTTTTTTAAATACAGCTACATTTTAAAGTAAAATTCTGTGCAGAAAAAAAACCGAGGACGTATCATTCAGAATGGGGGAAAGCAAATTCTCTTCATGCGCATGGCAATATGTTCAGGAGCCAAATGCCAATTTCGAGGTTTGTAGTCTTTATATTCCTCCATTGAAAAGGCAGAGGCTACAGTGGTTTACTATATACGGGGAAGCATAATAACTGAACGTGCATCGATATGCACGTTGTATTTCCTTTGGCTAATTTCGTCATTTTTAATTGAAAGCAATGTTACTCATTTTTACTTTTGATTTAAAGCTTTCGTGACTGCAGGGATTCATATTCTTGGTTCTTTCGGTAAAGTCACGTAGAAGGGAAATAATAAAACAATAAAAATATAAAACAATAAAAAATTCTCACGACGTGTCGACTGCAACACAAGCAAGCATCATCAGGTGTGATGATGATTGCTTGTGTTGCAGTCGTGAGAATTTTATTGTTTCATTTTCACTTGTTTCATAAAGATACGTTTTAATCATATGAGGCAGGTAGCTATCAGATAACCTTATCTATGGAATGTAATATATGATTATACTTTCGAATTAAGTGTAAAATTTTGGTTTTGTAAAAAGCAGCGGCATGCTAGAGAGAATATTTTTCTTATGCTTAGCCGTAAATTTGCAATGCAATAGAGGTTTATATGTTACTTTATTACATTTGCAGACGTGGAATTGCCAGCATGTTCATTGTGATTTATGGACAATCGTTTAAGACTGGAATGCTACATTCAGCTTAAGTAAATGATGGAGATGTTATTGTGAGAATTAAACCTATGCCATGTAGGTAATGATCTGAATGTATATCTTGGTATAGGGTAGCCGGCCCATATGGGGCATGGAATAATCTAGTTTTGGAATAAATCCAACATTTTCATTGGGCCTTGTTTAGCTCTATGATATTAAGTCGAATTATAAAACTTCATAATTAATTTCACAGCTTTGCTCACGGTATTATACATGCTGATGATGGTAAACATACACCATGAACTAGTGATAAACATCCGGGTGGTTTTGTGGAATTAGAGCTCTTGATTGAAACTTGTTATTTCAAATTGCAGCCAGTCAGTGTTTCATCCATCTGTAGTTCACAATATAATGACCACTTAATGGGGAAGTCAACAGCCGTCGTTTTATTGAATAACTAATTTGCAACATAAGCATTTGGCCTTTTTACCACTTGCTTATGAACATTGTCCCATGATTTTTTGAGTAAGAAGCCAATAATTTGTATTTTAACCAGTGCATGTAGATATTGGAACATTTTATCTTACCCATATAACTTTGTTGCAGACTCCCAAAAGTCCCCTTTTCCATTTTTGCTAAATGTATACAATTTGCATGCATTTCAGATGCTTAAGGCAGCTGTGCTTACATAGTTTTGGACTGTTTGGATTGCCTTGACAGGTAACGGTGAGTATCACAAATAATACAAGGGATGACATGAACCAAGCGGCTGTGACATCGGTGAGGAAGTTATGCGTCTTTTACCGTCGTCCTACGTTATTCCCGTAAAGGCCCGTGCCCCCTTCCTGCTTGCAATGGTAATGATGCACGGCTCCTGTCTCCCAGCGCAAGCAGCTGTCGGAGAGCGCGGAGAGGATCCGTGACGAGGGGGCAAACAACGTCCTGCACATGGCAGCCGCCAGCGGGCAGCTCGAGTGCCTTCAGTACCTGGCCTCTGCCCTCCCCGAGGACGGGCTTTTGGAGCGGAATGCAGAGGGCCTCACACCCACGGCCACCGCCATCAAGGTCCATCATTAGCACACGCCCCCCCCCCACACGCATGGCAGAGATCCACTGCTCGAGCCGTAACGCCGCCCGCTGTGTCGAACGTCTCATCCTTCCCGGACGTAATTATCTGGCAATTAAATTAGAGGGAATTGCATGCGTGGGTGGCGGTGCTAACGCACGAAGCTCAAATTGTTTACCATCATCGTTGGCAAACGATGATCCGTGATTTTCTGCAAGATGTCCTCTTACAGTAGGTGATTGAGATAAAAGGGCGCCCATTTATTTTCTTCACAGAGCATCTCTTTGGACCGGTGCAATTGCTTCTGATAATGTCCATTTCCAGGTTTATTGTGGCAAAGAGATATGTCAATGAAATCTCACAAGGTGCTCTACTTTGATTCTGATCCAAATGAAATGAAAAAAACATGTAATCAATATGTCGCTCAATATCTATATCAAGATCAAGAGGTCATCATGGTCAATGGTATTGATGGCACCACACCCCCACATCACACTTGCATCAGTCGGATCCTTCAACTCAGCTTGGCGTAACCCTTTTAGAAAATAATGAATTGCAATATTGTTCTTAAGTAAAACTATGCTATGGGACAGTACAGTTTACATCAGCTAATTTTTACGCCCTTTTTTCCAACTAGTGCTCTTGGTGTCATGTAATTAGAAAATATAGATTTCCATTCAGAAATGTGTAGCTAGTTTTGCATCATCCCGTGCCAGAGAATGGCTACGGAAGATGATATCAGAGAACTGTTTCTGAAGCCAATAAACCTCTTCATCCACACAAGGAGCATACGTTTAATACCCTGCAAAGTATTTTTTATTGCATGTAAATCAAACCAAAATGTTGAAGTCTCAGAGCTGGAATAAGCAAAATGAAGTCATTGATCACCAGACTGGGACCATCAACTTTCTATACGTGAGAGCAGAGCTTATATACAGGTGGCTGCCAGTATTTGAGCCCAGTGTTTCAGCAGATCCGATCGCCCAAGGACTACGTTATCAAGTCACACTCATTACACACAAAGTGCTTTCCACAAATTAACCACAATACTATGCTGATCTCACCAAGAAGCATAAACCACCACACCAACTTCGGTGATCCTCCAGTGGCTTTCCAATGCGCTTCTACAGTCATCTGTAAAGCTCTTCCTTCCGATATTAGGAAGCCACTGGAGCTATGCATTTTAAATCTAGATTGGGAACTCAATTGTTTATAGCTGCTTTTTGTGTTTAGTTTGTTATCCTTCCCCCACACCTCCGATCAGCATGGATGGCTACATATGGGGCAAGAGAAGTTCAGCAAACATACATTGGTAACCAGACTGGGACCATCAACTTGCTCCACTTAACAACAGAGTTTAAACACAGTTGGCTGCCAGGGTTTGAACCCAGTGGCACTGGCTCAGTGCTAGGACCCCTGAGCCATATGACAACATTCAAGCTTTACTCTTCTACTGATAAATAATTAATCAGTCATCAATATGCAAAAGCCTTAAAAAGCAAGCGCTTTAATAAGTGTGCATTATTAAGACTCTGTTATGGAAAACATATTGCCATGAGTGCCAAGAGTAAATCTCATGCGTGCCGTAAATGGTTTCTATTGGAGGCCAATGAATCAGCACTCTCTGAAGTGACCGGTGGGTACAAGTCCAACAATATGCCATCAAAGAGACCACAGAAATAACTCAAAATTACATCTCTAGCAATCGCAGCTGCATCTTGCTTAGAAAATATCTACTACAAATCACATCCATCACATTACCATTGTCGTGAATTGCTGAGCTGTATATTTGGGTTGAGTTTTGTAAACTTATGAATACAAATTACACCACAAGCACGGCAACATTTAAAAAAATTACCGGGCCTAATTCCAGCTCCACTCTTGACATGTGGAAGCTATCACGTTTTGGAATAGGCAACTTCATCCAGTGACGCTAGGCTGTTTTAATATTGGAGCCTTCGAATTGAAATGCTTGGATATGTATATTCAATTTACATATCACTTTGGTGATGAAAACTACATTAACCACACATCATTTATTTTCACAGCACTTACCAACTTTAAAACCTCGATTCCTCTTGACTCCGATGTGTACTTTCTGAGCAAGCGAGTATAATAACTGACCTCTAATCACCATAATCTCTGTTAATTCTATCAATATTTTTATTCATACCTGCTCATTATTGGATGAGCACCTCAGTTTCACGTTCAATATCTTTCTGGGTAATTAATTTGAGGTATTGACGATGAATGGATCTAGATATAACAGTGCTCTCAGATCTCTCAACTTTGAATAAGGGTCATTGGCTCACCATATTTGCCTACTATATATGTATTCTTTGGGTCTTTCGGTAAAGTCACGTAGATAGGTTCAAAGAAAAACTACGACGTTTCCATCGCAACACAAGCGGCCGTCATCAGGAGAAGGGGGGTTAGCTTCTAAAGCAATAAGGGAGTGTTAGTAGCTATGATGAGGCATTTTCAGAGTCTATATCTGTACACTATTGCCTTTAAACTTTCATGAATACTAAACAAAGCATCTGAGTAAGTTATATGAGAATGATCTGGGGAGCGGTGGCACTGTGGTTAGTGCACTGAGCTCCAAACCCAGTGACCTGAATTTGATTCCCGGCAACAGCAAACACCAGTAGTCAGTGGCATTTGAACTGATCCTGTCTCCACCCACTGTCTTAACCAAGCCACACTCACCAGCGTGGCGAAGTATGCTATTCAAAAAATCGCATCACAAACACGGTCTGGGAAGTGGATTGTTAAAGGGGCTGTGGACTTATTATTATTATTAATATTTGGATACAGATAGCATCAAGTGAACTACCAATTCTCCAAACATGCCAGTTCTGAACTGCATGCTGATGTTGATGACAAACGAATGTTATGCTTGTGGTATTGAAGCGCAGTATTATTGGCCCTGCTATGTTTAGACAAATTATTTGGCGATGCCGCATTTGGCAGTGGTGCACAAGCACAGTCAACAAACACAACTCAACACGTTCGTAATAACATTCATTTCTAGGCAGTGTTATTGACACATGTATCTGCTATGTACGGGTATCTTATTTTGACTCTCATAACCTTTGCAATTTACATGAGACTAAGAACAGCAATACCTGGCTAACCATGAACACACATGTACCATTCTTGGCAATGCAGGTTTTTTCCGTGCAAATATTACGTTTAGAATGTGTAAATGGATAAGATATGATAGGGTGTGCAATGAGGACCACTTGAAAAGTAAAATGTTTATCTCTTGCTGGCCAGCATTATCTTTATAGTTTTGTAAGCTATGTCAAGCTATGCCAAGTGCCTTGAGTGAAGATGCTCTATGAATATAAATTAGATCCGATTATAACCAGTGACTAATATGAACATTTGATTGTGTACAGTTCTCCTGCACACTGACACGTAATAAAGTTGCACATGGAAGTGTACCACACGGTGTTGATGTCAACAGGGTCAACCTTTTTGGGAAACGTTTCCCTTTGTGACAGATAATTCAGCTAATTTGGCTTTTTGACCCATGCGCTGCTTATCAGCTCTACCATGTACAGTAACCTGGCACATGACATGAATTCCTTTTTCAAAATATTACAACAGATGGGTCGAGGGGGGGTGGAAGCCATTAAATCTCAATGGCCTTCCCGTTTGTAAATATTTTCCTAGTTGTGTCTATATGTGTAGCCTCACTGTCTAAGCATCCCATCATGGTCTTTTAGTAAGAGGCAATTCTTTGTGCAGGTGGAGTAAGCCATATATTTTTCTTTCATCATCATCATATATTTTATCATATTTTTTTTTTATTACATGGTCCCATGGCAACAAACTATTTGTTTCATACCTTTGCTCTAAAATTCGCTTCACTATCTTTAAAATCTTTGAAAAATGAGGCCGGTACACATATTTTAATTTGTGGTATACCAAGAGATTACTGGGTGGCTCTGCAGTCAGAACACTGAGCTGGCAATGATCTTCACGCTAAAACCAGGTTCCTAAGTGGTAGACAATTGTCTTAACCTGGACACTAATTCCTGCTCAACGATCCCCATCATTTAAAATTAGATGTTGCCCTTGTTTTGGCTACATGCCTGCTCTGTGAATTAAATGCATCGGTTTCACTTTTATGCGACCATCTCTTGGCAGAGTGTATGGGAAAGTGCGCCCCCTACTGTATAAAGGACAAGCACGAAGTGTAGGTGCCGTTTTGGGCAATGGACCTTCTGCACACCGCACAGCGAAGAAAGGCCACTGCCCCAAACAGCACCTAATATAGACTTGTTTTAAGGCAGTGTTATTGATGGACGAGTGACATTATTTGAGCTTGTGCACCACCTCCAACGTAGTTTCGCCAAAGGATATACTGTATAAGCACTTGAAGTAAGTTTTTGTAAATGTGTAGTGATGCAGATCGGAGACAGTAAGACTTGGAGGCACTTGTTTTATTTAACAAGCACCATCGGGACAATACGCACCCTACGTGGGTGCACACTATTATAATAAAGACCGTCTATTGTCGACGGCACTGCTTAGTTAGAACAGTTGGTAGGCTGTCTGACTAGCAGTGCCCCGGGATGGTGAAGACGGAGACAACGACGAGGAGATGGTGATGACGACGAGATGGTGACGACGACGAGATGGTGACGACGATGATCTTGAACAGCACGACGGGGATTCCACTTCCAGCAACAGCCCCGAGCTCCCGCTCAGGGCCCCCTCTTATACTCCCAGTGTGGCCTTGCTCTGCCTCGGCCATGCCCTCTTTCTGGAACCTACTAGCCGGTTCCCGAGGCTTCCCGATGGGCCCCTTCTGTGACCTTTCCCCTAGATGTCCCCCTCTCGTATATATTGTGGCCTTCTGACGCGAGTACTGCCGTACACCGCAGTTACTCTTTTCCGCCAGCAGCCAGCGCTATACCACTACACATGTACTTATGTTGAACCTCTTTCACACCGTATGGAGGTGCGGGAGAAGGGCAGAAAACTAAACACAAAAAACTGTTATAAAGACGTAAGTTTTCAAACTATAAAAAAACTATATTCTTTGGTTCTTTCGGTAATGTCACGTAGATAAAAATAATAAAATTTAAATAAAAACCACGACGTTTCGATCGCAACACAAGCGGTCGTCATCAGGAAAAGGGGGTTAGCCTCTAAAGGCAAACTGTTTATAAAGGTTTGAAATTGGAATCCTGTGAAATATCTTATCCGTAGGCAGTTCTCTGATACACAGTGTGCACTGTTCCTTTAGATTTTTTAAAATTGATTTGTTGTCAAATGAATATGACACTCATGCCACAATTGAAATAGATTGGCAGGGAAACGGACCCAACAATTACAAACGAAAGTATGGTATAGTGGTACATGCATAATAGGTGGTTTGTATTCATGTTTATAGTGCAGTGGAATCATTGAGATAGAACTCCCATCAGCTATATTTGGTCGATCCAAACAAACAACTGCACAATGCTTGTGTTCTCGTATATCGAGAAAAGTGATAACGCCTTGTGTATATTGACGTGTCAAAAACTTTTACAATGCCATTTTCAAAAATTAAGAAATTAATGTACCCTCATTAGCAGTTTCATGAATTAATTTCAGTACATTTTTATGCAGCTTATATCTTTTTTTGCCTAAATGATATACATACAGTGAAGCATGTTCAAGACTCGGCGTTTGAATGCCGTGCCTTTAAATAAACCCGGCCATGTGTGTCACCTTCAGCAGATGGCTATTACAACCAATGTATTTAATAACCCATTTGCAATTGTATTTTTAATCCGTGGTAAAATACGGCAGTATATAAATAAACAAATGCACATATATTTTTAAAGCCCCTGTTAACAAAATCGCTAGTCATTACTTTTTCTTATTACAATCATTAATCTTTTCACCTGCAGCAATATATTATTTGTTAACTGCATCCCATCATACAGAGGATTTCAGACAATTGTGGAGGCATAATTAATAGCCTGTGTTTGCACGGCACCTTTTGCATTGTCTGCAGGATGCGGTATTTCCAGCCGTTGCTGGAGACTCTAGACTCGTTTATAAAAAGGCTGCTGAAACCCACGGTCACCTCGTGATACAGCTTGTCGCAGATTCTTCACTCCTCTACACCAAAGGATGGTGGATGTGAAAGGGTTAAACGATCCAAATTGGTATTACGCTAAAGTCCGAGAAATCTGCTCTCCTCTCAAATGTGTGCTACACTGATAATGTCCAGCGTGGTGACATTCTGTATAATGCTAAATGCTAAATGGAAATGCACTTGTTACAGTGGTGCTTAAGACAATGTCATAAATCGTACGGCTGCTTTTAAAACAGGGCTACAAGAGCACCCTAAATCACACGCAGGGTCGTGCGTTAACTGTTTCACTATTGCACACCTATTCTTTGGTTCTTTCGGTAAAGTCACGTATAAAGATAAAATAATAAATTAAATAATAGCATACCAGTAAGCGTTTGGCATTAAGAGCAATCGCCTCATCATGGCGTCATTCAACCCTATAAGGTGATGTCACCGCGCCCAGGCCATAGGCGTTGATTGAGGGACGATGACGTCATGTGGAACAGATTTAAATGTAAATCACAGGAAACTCAACTTACAGACGATTCCACCAGTAATACGCGAGTCACTCATCCAGAAGATTTTGGCTCCCATCGGTTTGTACTGGATGTTATTTTTCTAAATTTTGGGAGGTAAAATGTTGTTAATTTCGACAGGTTACAGTTTTGCAGGCACGTCTTCGCCAAGAGATACACTTTGTTTAACGCGTTATTCGCATGACGTACCATTTGGAAAATACAGAGCATGACGGACGGACACGCGCATTATATATGATCGTTTATACAAGCGGGACGAAACCAGAGCACCCGGAGGAATCCCTCGTGTGCGGGGGGGAAACACTGTATCCCCGTACAGATGGAAACAGATGGCAATTAGTCCACTTGCTGTACTGCCTTCTCTGGCGAGCCAGGGTATGGCACCTTGACACCCACGGGAAAGGGAGAGTCACTACATTTATGCAATCCACCAACACTCACTGCCAGCTATGTGTTTTATTTACGTAAAAACATGATCTATGATATTGTTTGGTATAGCGATCAGATATACTATTATAATCTCTTATTGTAGCATTTTCTGGCATAAGCAAGCGTATATTCTACTCGCATTCATATATTGATCTTTAATCGAGGCAGTGATTGTCAGTAACATTCATATTTGGAATTTATTGAAAGCTTATACGCATTAGAATTGTCTAGTTATTAGAAATGTTTTTGGAAAAAGTAGAACATTTGTAAAAAATATAATTACAACTTCGATCCTAAATCTGCCTTATAGTGGTACACCAAAGGGCACCATCTGCAGTAAAGCATACACTAGGAAGTATAGTATGGAGTAATTTGCAAGAGCATTCCACCCTGTACCTAAATGACAGATACTTCATTCAACTGTTATGCACGTCACAAGATTAAGTGTCGTAATAATATGAGTGCATTCCTGGTATGTTCAGCTAAAATGTGTTTCTCTCATATGAAGGTTCATATATATAGATACAATGACATGAATATACAAACAATTGAATCAATTATTATTGTTATAAAGTTATTAAATTCAATTACTAACATCGGAGAGAAGAGGTCATTGACCAAAACGTTGCTTTGCTTTTTCTTCCATCACCCTCTTTGAGGCGGCGCTGTTGACGAACGTGTGTCGCGTTTGTGTGCTTTCGTTGTTTGTGCACTCGTGCGCAGCTGCGTCGGCAGCGTTGTGACAAGTTGTCTGTCTGCTTTGTTTCGATCAGAACGGTCATCTGGAGAGCGTCATGTGGCTGGTGTCGGAGACCGAGGCGGGCGCCGAACTGAGCGTCTCCGTGGAGAGGCCCGCGCTGATACACTTTGCGGCACGCTTTGGACAGGTAGCGCCCGAGCCCACGCTGTGCCCTTCCGCTAATGTCATTACGCGTTAAATCGGGTTGCGGAGACATCCTAAATCACCCGGGGCTTTGGACCTGCCAAGATGCCCCCTTTGGGGTCGCAAAGCTGTCGCCGGGTTTTGATCGCCATCGTTTTGTTATTTTATGTGCCGAGGCGCTCGGTCTCGCTCTTTAACGGAGCCTGCGTTCGTCGTGCATACAGATGAGAACGATCTGCATACCTTGAGCGCTCGGCTGCTCCGAACACACTATCGTGCATTACAAGCGCATAGGACCAAATTGATTTTCTCTGCGCACTTGTAACGCATCTTCCATGCATTGCTCGTGATTTCTATCGTCACGCAGAAACCTAAATGTTGATAATTAAAAGGATCCTACCTCGTATTTCTATACAGTTGTTCCGCATTTTTTTAAATGCTGAAATGTGCCTGGTCTGACCAGAGTTGGGAGAGTGGTAATGTTTCAATTAGGCATTCGGTTGAGACATCCAATTATTGAAAATAGATTTTCATGAAATTATTCCCGACAAGTATTGTGTAAATGTAAATAATTAAATAACACCGCATGCCTTCAGATCAATGAATAATTTCTAAATGTCCCTCGACAATGAAACCTGGTAGCAAAGTAACCATGTATTCAATATTCATCAATTTTGGTGGCTTCTGGAGCTAATTGACATGACATATTTTCATACTGCTTCACTGTTGCTTAACTCCTTTAGCAATATCCGCCTGAATACAGGGATAACCGTTGACTTAAAATCAGGGAAGGTACAGTAGCTTGATCATATATCTTCAAAATTCACCCAGTCAAATACTGATGTGAAAAGCATTAATAACGGGACATTAGCCTCGACCTTCCATGGTAATCATGTTGTCATATCTGACTTGTCATATTTCCGCAAACATTTGCATGGAAAATGTTGCACGTGCATGTAAGGGTGTATGATGTCCAAGTCTGACCGTTGAAGAAATGGTTAATGGATGTGTCAGCGTTCATGCATTGAATTGATCATTCAGGACATAACTGGGCTATCATTACCGTGATAAACGAAGACATCACTTAGTTTCACTGCACACTGGCAAAGAAGCCCCAAAGGCAGGATGATTATTGTAATTACAGGACAACTAACTCATGGGAATATTACGGAAAATTGCACCTTTATTAGACGAAAAAAGTCATTGTTTTTCTCTCCTTTTTTTCACAACTTGTGATCAAGACACACGTAGCGCACCATCCAAGCATGTGAAGAAACACCTTGTGCACCATTCAAGCTTGTGCGACTTATTTATTCATCTGTAGGTTTTTTGGGAAGTGTTGATACTCTCTTTAAATACATCAGTAGAAACACGTGGTGCTGACAAGTGTTTTTAATAATAATTGTACTTATGCCAATACACACATGCATTAATGCAACAGGGAAACGTTCTATATTAAGAGATACTTGTTGCTTTGCTTAGCATGAGACAGAATATCTGACATCCATTTCATCTTCTCCATGGCCACAAAAGCAATACTCATCTGAGGCTCAGATCCCAAAGGGTATTCTCTTCATTAGATGGAGTTTAATTAAAAATGTGATTATGAACCCTGCAGATTGAAATACTGATCAACAAAATGGAAATGCAAAAAAACTGCTTAATCATCGTCTCCTTTTGGCACAAATCATTTTCAGCATTTAGTTAAATACGTATTGGAATGGCTGACAGGATCAATCCGCAGTGACTTGTTACTGAGAAAATTCTCACAGAGCACTGCTTCCCAAGGAATATGTCATACTGTCACATTTCAGCAGCACATTCCCCCTTAAATTGCACTATTTGTTCTGCCACCCAAAAATCCCCAAATCGATATCAATGGATTTCATCCTCGTTGGCGAATATTTTCCAAAAGGTAAATACAGTGCAATAAAAAAAAATGAGGAACATATTCCTTCACCAGCTGTATTGGGAAACTCTGCGATAACGTGTAATCTTTTAATTCGAGGATGTTTTCACACAGCAAAAAATATAATTTGCTGCCTGTCACGCAGATTCAGACTGTACATGTAACCATTTTAGTTACTCAAGGGGGCAGAGTGCTTTCACAAATTCAAACCGTCCACCACATCTCCACATTCCTGTTGCACGCAATGTTGTTCGTGCCTCCAACAGCGGTGACATTAGCACTTTCAGCAGACGTGTCTCGCGCAGGGATGGTGGCGATTACCATTAAGCCTCCAGCCGCTCAATCCCCAAAGTGCGAAGTTTAACGGCCGGGGCTCCCCAAGGCACACACGTTCTCGAAGTTCTGCCCCACGAGTGTACAGACAGTTTGTCGTCCAGCGTGACGTGCACATTTGTATCCTGTCACCGACGGCCTCCCACCTGACCGTGGCACAGGAGCGGATCCTGGTGTGGCTGCTGCAGTACATGCAGGAGGAGGGAGTGTCCCTGGACGGCCTGGACCCGGACGGAAACAGCGCGGCGCACGTGGCCGCTCGCGAGGGCCACCTGGCCTGCTTGCAGGTGCCGCAGCTCCTCTTCCTTGCCTAGACACAGACCTCGGAGACAGATGCACTTATCCACCGCAAACGCTGTCTCCGCAGCTGGTCTCGAAGTGCCATTTATGGAACATCGGTAGAAGGCCCGTAAATTCAGTTGCCGTTCAAACAACATTTGAGCCAGTCACTCGTGTTCTACGGCTGCGGTGTCTCCAAGAATTACATCTGAGGAGCAGTAATGGGGTCAGGTCCATTGCTGGTGGGAGCACATTCTCTAAAATGGTAATCACTGTCTCTGGAATCTCAAGGGCACTGGCTGGAGAGTGTTGGGGGAACATTATTTTCCACAGGGGATTCTTGCTCTAACCACCAGTGTGAGCTGTGACCTGTGCACAGATGCTTAATTTTTGTATGCGGGACCAGCCAGAGCAGGTATAAATCCGCCATTCTTTAAGTTCATCTGAAAATGACATAGAAAAGGCATGATACATGTCTGTGAGGCCCGTTGCATCGAGTGCTGAACTCGCTCAGGCTGATATTAAACCTTAATTCCATTGCCATGTAAGCATCAAATACATCCCCATCTAGACACAAATCTGGCCACAAATGTGGTAGTCGCCTGATGAAGCTAGTTTTTATTACTGGCAAAATCTCGTACTCAGATTGTAAATGTTGTACTAGTAAATGCTGGACTAGTAACGAATTGGCATGTTCTGTTTACGTGACAACCCTTACTAATTAGCTGTGTCAGGTGGTGGCGGGTTTAACGACACATTTATATATTTACACGCTCTAACACAAAAAACCTGTATTATGGATGATATTGGTCGCGAAAGCCTACGTGTTAAACATTTCTAGTTAGTGCAATTTAGCCTAACTGCATCATTGACATATAATTTACATATCATTTGCATGATAACGAATACACTTTTGTTTGCTACACACACAATTCGATCGCGTGTATCATGAGCCTTAGCAATCGATAATTCTCAACTCATCAATCCGTCGTTGCACCGCGATATTTCAGCGCGCCAGGAAATACGGCCTGTGGGAGCCTGCTGACTTTCTGTGCTGCGTGGGAGGTGCGGTATAAATAATAATGACCATGTGGACGACGGCGACCACTTCTGCTTGCAGACCTTGGTGGAGTACGGAGCGAGCGTGACGACGCTCAACAAAGTCGGGCAGAAGCCGCTGCAGTGCGCAGAGAAGCACAGGCACCCGACGTGCGCTCGCTACCTGGTGGTGGTGGAGACTTGCATGTCACTGGCATCCCAGGTGGTCAAGCTTACCAAGCAGCTCCGAGAGTGAGTGACCATGAGCTCTCTCACTTAATTCTCCTTGAAAGGATGAGCAATCCCATCTGAACGTGGGTCCTGTCGTATCGCTAAACTGATTCAGGAACTAAAGGAGGCTCTCTAGCTCTCTTCAAATGAATGCTGAGCATTTTACCCTCTAATCAGCATTATTAGCCATTCACGTGCACCAGTAATCACAAAACTGAATAATAGAATAAGTCCCCAAAATAATCCAAGCTGGTAATGACCTCTGATGGGTTACAATTAAGATTTTGCCATATAGGGTGTACAAGACGATACTTCTGGGAAAACATTGTATATGGGGTATTATTTAAAAAAAGGATAGGGCACATCCTGAAGCCATGTCGTTTTTTAAGTAACCATAATTTCACTGCCACTGTTGTATATGTAAGTGCCCTGATTTTCTGTTTTATTATTCACTGGGATTTTTTACAGTGATAATTGTAATTATAGACATAAAGAGAAGAGCTAATGTAAATAACTACGAAGGCTTACAGTTACAGACATAATTTTTGTTCATATACTAGAAGAAATTCCATTAATTTCCTTGCCAAATTTGTAATACTATACACATATGCAATTAGGCATGACTTTTTTATCATTCCTGTGCATAGTTTATCACACCCACATTTGTGCTTTGTTTCATAATGAGCTTTTTGTTTATTATGGTCAAGCAACATTGATAAATGACTATATATTGGACGATTAAACATTGAATGATTACTGCAATTTCCATATGCAAGTGCCCTTTAATTTTCAAAAGAAACCAGCCGCTGTGATGTTTTTTTATTTACAATAACACCAAAGTCAATATCAGAAAGTAGTTTTCAACTTGAAATTATTCGAATAATTGAATCTTGAATATAACGATGATTAATGTATGATTCGAGGGTAAAGGAAAGGAGGCTTGATGGTTACCAGATTACAACATCGCACATTGCTTGTACGAAAGACTGAGCTGTATCGCTGAGACATACTCACAGTTTAATATTTTGCATGGCAATGATCACGAACACAAGGTAAAGCCCGAAATGAAGCAGGATATGCAAACCACATCAGCAATTGTTGCTGTAAAATAAATTTCACTTTGAGCACGCTTTGTTATGACGTGAGGCTGGATTTTTTGTTTTACATTTTCAAGTTGAGCCTCGGTTTTGTCGACATTTCTTTTGCCAAGGTGTGTGGTGTGAGAAGGAAACAGGGTGGTGGGTCAGTGATTGGTGGTCTATGAGCAGCCACGATCGGCTCGTGGGCACAAACGTTGAATAAAAATATAAATGTTTATTTTACCAGGTAAGGCCCACCTGAGCTATAAAGCTCTTTTTCAGAAGCGACCCGGCCACAAATAATAGCTCGGTGAAGTAGCTTATCGCGTGGAAATGTATTGTAGCCATAATCTCTGAACGCATGTTTCTGAATGTGGAGGGGAAAACCGGAGGATCCGGAGAAAAATCCACACCACCAAATGGCGAACATTCAAACTCCAAACATACAGGCGTCAGGGTCGGGATCGAACACATGATCTCCTGTATACCAGGCAAGGTAGTTAACATCTCGCCAACGTGGCACTGCATTCGACTGGACACCTGGGTGGTGAATAGTCAAAAATAATTCCTCATGGAAATAAAGGCAGACCTTACTCCTCCCTACACCTTCCTTCCATTGGATCCGGGCATAGCTTCAGGGTTCATATCATGGTGATCGGCGTGTGGTTTCGGGTGTTTATTAGGTTATGCTTGTAATCGGGTGCTTTGTAGGGCCAAAAATAGATACAGGGGGCTTTCTTTGTTCTACTGCAAAGCCACGTGTGTGGGAATAACAGCACAATTAACTGTGTGATGGCTTTTTGTTAGGTGCAAGTCAGCTCGAACTCCGATACAGCCTCAACCCGAGGGACTGGCTGGGATTTTTCCCAGTCATTGCTGTCTGAATCCATTCATTCACATGATGCTGTTTAATGTAAATGCGTTGAGTTGTTGGAAACTTTAGTTAGAAACATAAAGTACACATGTGGTTTAGTTTTTATTATTTAGTGCTCATTAGACGCTTGTCAGAGTTGATAAGATTAGTTGTGTCTCTGTTTTTTAAGGGAATATTAAAATAACAATTGCATATTATGAAAACATGTTATTGTATTACCTGTCTTTGTTAATAAACCTTGTGTATGGAATTTTAATGCCAATTTTTGAAATTAATGTCAAATTATACCTATTTTCAATAATCAAATGTCCTCTCTTTTAAACGAAAGAGCACAAAACATATTTTGATTAGTTTTAACTCTGGGTATTAAGTGCATGCTGTGCAATGAGGGGAAACTGATAGAATTTCCATGACATTTATTTTAGGAAAACGTCTGAAATTGTGAAGCTGCAGAGCCAACTGCAGGTCCTTACGAGTGGGCAGGCATCGGCCAGCATTCCAGACAAGGTCCACCCGGCACGGTAACAACATTGCACATCTGCCCACTAAGGGGAGAGACGCGTCGCATACACACACACACACACCGCTTCACGTTTAAACGTAAACAGGAGCTCACTTTACACACAATCAGCACATTGCTCAATTGCGTCTTTTTAACATTCACCAAGGAGCGCTTTAATTTGTTCTGCACGCGCTTTGGGAATTCTCCCTGGGTTTGTTTTCCTAAGATTTCAATTAATCGCATGCGGCATTGTAATTGCATGCAGTTGCAGAATAACAGTTACGCTGCGTAATATAAACATTGTGCCGTGTGCCAAGGGTTTTTTTTCTTTCTGTTACGGCATCTTGATTTTGCCAGGTGGTCTGGATCGTCGCCTGATTACAGCAGGAGTTCGGGAAGCTCTCCAGAATCTACGCAGCTCAGCAGCTGTTGGCCGAAGCGCATCACAAGAACTTGTAAATGCAAAACCCATTGGCGGGCAGACGGGCGGGCACGGCAGCCATCTACCCCCCAAAGCAGGCCAGGGATTGTTTCAGGGGGCAGAGGACACCGATACGGTGCTCAGAAACCTCCTGGGTGAGGAGATCTCTGGACAGATGCTAAAGGATGAGAAGCTGTCACTCGAGTTTCCGGATAAAGACAAAAAAAGATTCATCCAAAGGCAGCTGCACAACAGAAAGGCAGCTGGCCCTGGTGCTGGCAGGCCGGGCTACGTCGGCGGCAGCCCCTCGGACGGGAGACCTTCCAGCAGCTCCAGCACAGACTCCAGCTCGCCAGTCAACCAGCAGAGGCCCAGGCCGCGGCCCATCGTGGAGAAAGGCGAGAACCTGCACTTTGTGCTCAAAAAGCACGCCTTCGATGGAGGCAGGGCCCAGAGCTCCTCGTCGCCAGACAGCGCGGGCCAGGGAAGCGACCCCGGCGCCTGGTCCGCCCCCAAGATGTCGCGCTCCGTCTCGCTGGACAGCGGCACGGCGCAGACGGAGGGCGGCTCGTCGTCGAGCGCCTCCACGCCCGAGTTGCGCTCGCCCAAGTCGGAGCGCCGCTGCAGCCCCAAGAGCGCCCTCAAGTCGCCGACGTCTCGGGGCAAGAGCCTGTCGGGCACCAAGCTGCGCGTGACGTTTGAGGAGCCCCTGGTGCACGTGGCGCCGCCACCGGAGCCGACGCAGCCGTCCGCCGAGCCGTCTGCGGACGGTGGCGCGGGCCCGCGGGGCGGCGGCTCGCCGTCACAGCCGGTGAGCCACGTCGTCGTCTATTGGCGCGCTCGCGCCGTCGGTGCACGTGGCGGGTTTTTGCGTCCGGCCGTTTTCGACGCTCGTTCTCGGTGACAGCATGGCATGGGCCTCGTCGCAGTAGGAGTTCAGCGCTACGGCCACGCGCGGAAAAGAAGTGCGCTTTAACTTGCTTATCACGAAAATGAATTGCCAACAAAACGACATTTGTGCAGTAATTAAGCTCTTGCATGTTCATTCCCTTCATTTAAATAGTATACGTAATTGCTCTTTGGTACATCTCAGAACTCCGGAGCTAAAATGACTTGTCAAATATAATTACGCCACTCTTTAATGCGTTCTTCGCTGCGCGATAACTTGCATGTACGTTTATGCGATAATTGCTTTTATGCAAGGTACTTGCTTGATTGCACCAGAAATGCATGCTGAATTCTGGCTGAGCTTTGTGGAGATAACAAGCCCTGTGTGCTGAACTTCCAGGCTAATAACATCTACTCTGTCAGTGCATGCCGCATGCTGGATCAGAGTAAATGCTCGGGCGCACAAAGGTGAGTGTGGTGCTGCTTCGGTAGCTTGTTGCAAAGTAAAATTCACTTATTTTCATAAACAATCACAACAACCTGTTTTACCATGGGTATTGCAATATAGTTTGATTGCTAGTACTCTACTTGATAATGTGTGAAGATGAATTGCAGAATTTGTTCACCTTGGAAAACGCAAGTGCAAATGTTACACAATAACTGTACACATAGCAGTGCCAACATACCGTAACTTAAAGGGTATTCGAGCTGCTTCTGTTTACCAATTTGTGTCTTTGTCCATAGCTTCCACGTAAATGAAAAAAACCCATCACAGTTTAATGAGAATGTGCGTTATACAGTGGCAATTAATGAAACATGAACAGTATAGAAAAAGAGCGTATACATTGAGAGCGGGTAAGGTGAGGGGAGAGGGGAATCCAAATAAACAAAATGATAAAATCTAGATGGAAAAAAACAGTGAGCAGAGAGAAGGTAGCGATTTGACCAAAGATGTCGAGAGCACAGATATTTAATATTCCAAACCTCAGCCTTTGAAGAAAAGAGCATGGAAGAGACTATAGAGAGAGGAGAGATGCAAGTGATCGATCTGCTGCTACTGCGTACACTATTCACGGTGCACCTCGAGGTATCATGATTGCCATAAGATATCATGTCAGTTGTCAGATTATTTGAAAATGTCTTGGAACTGATGTTAATGTTATAACTAGAGGTGAAATGTGGACAGTGATTTAACAATTTTCCTTTTTGTTGAACGAGTCACATTTCTGGTTAAGAGGATGCACTTGAAATCCAGGTCAAATTTTGATATCTCATGGCATGCAACATTATCGCGTTTAAAATAATTCCTTACACATGCAATGGGTTGCATGTTTCACAAGCTTAGGAATCAATGTTAGTCGATGAATCTATGCATCATGATCATCACGGCGGCGAGATGCTATCTCCCTCGCCTGGTATGCAAGAGGTCATGGGTTTCGATCCCGACCCTGACGCCTGTATATTTGGAGTTTGCATGTGCTCCCTGTGGTCACGTGGATTTTTCTCCGGGTCCTCCGGATTTTCCCTCCACATTTAAAAACATGCGTCTAGAATGTTTGGCTGCTATACATTTCCACGTGTTAAACCACTTTGTTGAGCTATCGTTTGTGGCCAGGTGGCTTCTGAAAAAGAGCTACATAGCTCAGTGGGCCTTACCTGGTAAAATTTTAAAAAATGGCAGAGAAATTCAATGCATTAGTAAGAACCACCTCATCGACGTTAATTCAATGTAATTTCATTACAAATCACACACCATGGCATATATGTATATACACATTGAGCAGCATGTCAGAGAGATGCTTATAAGGGTAATTTCAGAATGTAAGTCCGCCAATATCTACTGTGAAGACAAAACAAACATGTAAACGTTACAACCCTGCCAAAATTAGTCATGTATTATGATACATGTGGTGCTAAGCCAATAGAGAGTACTTTAGACGATGGGATGTCACCTGATAACATTTACTACTGCTCTGTGATACAAATATTTTTATTCTAGTACTCCACGCATCTCTATTTAAAAATGATCAATTCAAGCAGGTGTCGCCTATGGGCAGTAAGCGGGACCAATAGAATTGTGAGGAGGCTCTGTGTCGGCAGGGCTAGCGGTGGAGTGGATGTGGTAGTATGGCAATGCAGGTGAGGGTGGTAGTGTAGCGGTTAACGTGCTTGCGCTACGAACCTGGCAACCCGAGTTTGATTCCCGCTCACGGCCAACACCCAGTGACGATTATCTGAACCGGTCCTGTGGCTCCCCTAGGTCGACTCAGCCTCAAATGAGTACCTGGTGTGGTGTGTAAACATCGCCACTAGGGAGACAAAGGCGGCGTGGTGCTGGCCACCCACCCCCCCCCTCGTGTGCCGTGCAGGCCATGATAGGTGCTCGCTAACAGCACTTGCCCCAACAGTCTGTTCAGGCTATACGGGGGATCTTTGTCTTTGGAGGGAGTGTGGCTATAGAAATGCGGGTGGTGCTGATAGGAGGAGGGACTGACGCTCACCATGTGCCCCGGTTGAGCCTGCCATAAAATGTGTAGCCTAACATGAATTATATTTAATAGTTCGCAAGGATTATAGACCTATTAACTTTGTCAAAATTATCTTCAGATTAATCATATTGCACTGCTTATGGTGTAGATTATAATAAACACAGCGAAATAGGGTTACAATAATGAAAAGTAATGTAATTACTCAATGGATATGGATTGCTTAAAACTTCACAACTGTTCTTCGTGAATTCAACATGGTTCGTATATAGAGTAATCCACACTGACCAGCGTGGTGAAGTATGGTCAATGAACACTCATGACAGACATGATGTGGGGAAACCTGAATCCAGCAGTGGATTGAGAATATAAGCTGTACTTTACTCTAGCACAGTACAGATGTGTTTTTAAAATATATTCAATGAAAATACATCTACTTTGTCAACACATTTTACATTTCCTTTTCATTCTACGACACCAGCAGATGTGAGGGCGGAGGAGCAGAGGCAGCATAGGCGTGTTCCTACGGCTCAATTGAACCTCCGAGTTTTCTATCGTCAGTGGAAAGTGACACGTGTCCTGGGATACCTCTTCACTGGCCTACACTGACCGGTGTGGGTTGATTTTGTCATAACACCAACATGACTGGCATAACGTGGAGATGCCTTCCTTCATCCAGCAGTGAATTAGTATTATCTCAGCATATGTACATTTTGTACTAACGCGACCATCCACGACATGAACAACTGCCACGAGGCAGAAAAGAAACACGCGACCGTACTGCAGGTGAATCCCTCAGCACGAATTGATTGAATTGCAATCGCCGTAAACAAAAATCAGAGTGTGAAATAAGCAGGTGCTAAACGCACAATACCGTAAAGAAAAAAGAAAAATCGACTCCTTAGGCCTCTTTTATATCTTTTTAAAAAACCAAGGTGCAAGTCACAAAGGAAGGCTTTGATGGTGCAGGTGTGGCTAAGTTTCTGCATGACAACACCAACTGAGAGATGGAGAAACGGCTGCCAAGATGAGCGCAGAAAGCGTCTCGTCAAATTGCGCTGTGCCAAATCTCGAGAGTGGATGTGGTGGTTTAATGGAACGCTCACATTCCTTGGAGCAGGTTGGTTTCTGTCAGCCGCGTATAGAGTCTGGTGAATGATTCTTTGGAAGATAAATGTTATGGCACACCATCGCAGTAATGGCTGCAGCAAGTGGTGTCCTAACCGTTGCCAAGTGTTTTGTTTCGCAAGCTGTAAACCCACCCCAATGATAGACTTTCATATCAACAATGCTTCAACCATATATCGCCACAAAATAATGATAGTAATAAACACATTCCTGCGGAGGGAGCTGGTAGGAACGTTGGGTTGCTCGGTCAATGGCCAGGGTCAACGGCGGCGTGGTGTATTCCACAAATATGGCCGACTGTGAGGGCGGGCACAAGCCGGCGTGAGTAGGTTAAACGTTGAGTTTTATAAGGGCACCACGGGGTAACCAGCCCCTCCCCACCCAGCCCCACCCAGCCCCACCCTCCCCACCCAGCGCCTCCCCACCCTCCCCTCCCAGCCCCTCCCCACCCAGCCCCTCCCCACCCTCCCCTCTCCACCCAGCCCAACCCCTCCCTTTTTTTGATGCAGGACGGATGGACACAATAATCCCCTGTGGGCTGGTGTAACCAGGAGGTTCCTACCAGTATAAAGATAATTCTCAGCCCTTTGTCAAACTCACCACTGGATGAATGCCTCCACCAGCATGCCGTGGCGGTCATGGAGGTTGTTTGATAGTACCTCTCACCAGAGGTGTGGACTCGAGTCATGTGACTTGGACTCGAGTCAGACTCGAGTCATGAATTTGATGACTTCAGACTCGACTTGGACTTGCATAACAATGACTTTGTCCCACCTCTGAGGTGTGGACTCGAGTCATGTGACTTGGACTCGAGTCAGACTCGAGTCATGAATTTGATGACTTCAGACTCGACTTGGACTTGCATAACAATGACTTTGTCCCACCTCTGCCTCTCACCACGCCGGCCAATGTGGGTTGGTAAAGTAGGCCTGGATGAGAACCAGTTGAGATATTTCTGTTAACCTGGGTTGCAGGGTTCACAGCAGATTGTGATTAGCATCGTTCTCCACATATCTACCGTGTCGTCTTAAAATGATCCACTTGCACCATAATTACTACATTGCAGAGTCCATAGTGATTTATTCATGTACATTGCGTGAATGCCTATGTACATATTTTTTTGTTATATCCTCTGCCAGTCATCTCAGTTAACCCATGGCACCTGGGTCTGTCCCGTGACCTCCTGCCAGTAGCGAGTCTACGACTCTTTGCGTGGTTTCACTGTCCACCTAGCCTGGCACAAGCGCCATAGTTACAACACTACCACATAGTAGCAAATGGCATCTATGGTTGTTGTTTAATCTCATGAATTGCAATAATTATATGAATTACTTACATTCATCGCTTAATGTCAGATGTCATATAATCTGATGTTATTGAATTGATGGTTGTACAATATATACAACGTAAACGCTTATGGCTATACTCATATATGAAATTCATTAAAATCATTGACTGTTATCGCCTGCCAGGTAATCTGCTCAAATATGTTTTTTGGGAAATAAACACTTAATTTATTACCTTAAATCTGTAGATGGACAATGTCTATAAAATATGAGAAAATCTTTAAATCGGAAATTATTTTCAAAATTAATAATCCATATTGTTTTTATCCCGTGTATGATATAGAATATTGCATATAGAGAAGTAATATCAATGTGTCTGGATGTGAATGCGTCTCAAGATGTAAACGCATGGGCGACAGGCACATATAGTAATGACTAAAAAAAAAACACGAGAAGGGGCTTCTTTTCTCGTTTTTAAGAATTATTCCAGAGGGGAGGCTACAGGGCAGAGAGGCGGAAAGAGATGACGGTATTTGAAGGTGCAAATGAAAAAAAAAGCACGACAAAC